TCCGTGCCAGGTGCAGGGTCTGCTAGCTGGGTGCTGGCAGGCTTGCACCTGGCATGGGCACCGTAGCCAGCCCGTGCCCCTTTAAGGGGTCCGGGGAGGGGAGGGGGGCAGACGAGTTTCCCTGGTGTTGGCCAGAGTGGCCACCAGGGAAACCTGGGGAGGGCTAGCCTCCCACTAGTTCGAATTAAGGGGCTACACAGCCCTTAATTCGAACTAGCTAGTTCGAACTAGGCTTAATCCTCGTAAAATGAGGTTTTCCTAGTTCGAACTAAGCGCTCCGTTAGTTCGAATTAAATTAAATGCGAACTAACGGAGCGCTAGTGTAGCGCCTATGAAAGTTAGTTCGAACTAACGTCTATGAGTTCGAACTAACTTTGTAGTGTAGACATACCCTCTCTTTTTTAACTTTCCATGTAGTTTTGCAAATTTAGGGGGGAAATTAAATCTTAGTGGTACTAAGAGTCAAGAAGAGAGATAGTGAGTGATGAAGGATGGTTTCTTTATACGGCAGAGAGCGAATAACCCGGTTTCCTAATGCTTTTTAATCCTGTCGATATTTTTAAGAAAATGTGGTTTTGGGGCTGTGTGGAAACCCATTTTCAATGTTAACCCTTTTACCATTTTGACATAATCCCATGTTAGAAGAGAGAAAGAGTAGTGCAAGCAAGATGCATTTTTCCTCCGTGGCAGAAGGAGCTAACAAATTGCAACTTTAAAGGGGCACACTCCTCACGAACCATGTGAAGGACCAGATTCGAGGCTCTCTGCTCCTTCCCAACAGGGAGAAGTCATTTGAGAGTAGTTCCTGTGCTCCCTCGATTGCTGCGAATCAGTTACTCACGACAATTCAAGTTCTGGGAGCAAGGGGAAGACGCAGGGATGGCATGCGAATCAGCAGATTCATGGCGCTCCAAAAATGCCGGGAGTGGGAGTAGTAGGACGTGTAGGGCTTCCGCATGGGGGAGCAGAACAGACAGGGGATGCATGGGCCACAGGCAGAACCCCAGTGGACCATGGGCCATAGATTGCCCACGACTGTAGCCATCTGAGACGGAGGGCCATTCATACAGCCTACTTACTAGTCTTGGTTGCACATTGCGCTGCTCCTTCCTAAAGTGCCCCCCCCCCCCGAACTCAGGAGTGTAAGCTACAGTATAATCCTATAAACAGATTTTCATTTAGGAATATGCTTAGCTAATAAAAGGCCATATGTTCCTGTCTCCTATAGGACATGGCAGGCAGCAAAAGGGACCAGCAAAAGGCTTGGGAATCATGGAGTGGATTCTCCCTGGGATTGCCCCAGAAACCAGGAAAATCTCTTTGCATGGGATAGGTTTGCACACTCCTATCTTTTCACATTTCCACTGTCTTTTCTTACCCCTCAATTTATGCACCCTCCACTTCACTCTGGTTCAGCCATAGATCACAGCACAAATTCGTTAGAAGAACCTGAGATGGCCACAGGAAGTGAATGTGTTGTTTGGTTGCAAATGAGGTTACTGTCATCCATAATATCAACCCTCTGGAGCTATCATCTCTCTATATATTTTAGAGTGCATCTGTCTGTCTGAGTGCCTGTGAGTCTGTCTCTTCAAGAACTCCTTCAAAATAGTAAGATCTAGGGCCACCAAATTTGGTATGCTTGCTCTTCTCCTAACTTAAAGCCAGGTCAAGGTGTGGTTGTGCCGGGACAACTGGAAGCCCTGGGAAAAGGACTGTTTTCCATAACATGCAAAGGGAGGGGCTGCTGTTTGGAGGGACGCAATATGAGAGTGACCACTGGGAGCAGCAGTACCACCAAAGGAGTGGCTAGCAGGGGTGGGACTCTGCCATCTTGCCTGCAAGCACACTAAATAAGTAGGCCCCTTTCCCCAAGCCCTTTCCCCCACTCCCAGCCCTTGGCCACAGTGCCGGGGGCGGCGGGGGTTAAAAATGCCCGATAGCTGGGGAGGGGCTAGGGAAGAGAAGACACCCCTGCCAGTTGTGGGGGGGAAGAGGAAATGGGGGAGAGAAAATGCCCCAGGGCTGCTTGGCTAGAGAAAGAAAAAGCCCATGTAGGATAGGACCCCCTACCCATAGCCCATCCTCATCCCCACCCACCAATACTCACTCTCATCTCACCTCGCCCCTAGACTCCTGCACTCACCCTCATCTCCAGGCTCTGTCCCAAATACTGCATCCCCCACACCATCAGCCCCTTGCCTTTAAGGACCTGGACAATGCCAGGTAAGTCTGCTAGTCTCAACATATATTTGTCAAAATACAAGTTTGGCTAACTCAAGTGGTCGTTGATGGAAAATCAAGCTACACAGAATGATGAGATTTGATGAAATGCAGAGCCAATGTTGTTAAAATTTGCTTGAAATATTCAGTCTCAAAAGTATACCTCTAGTACATCTTTGTCCTACAAATTACTTTTCTGATTACACAAATTCTGAGAAATTAAGAATGAATATATAAATACATTCAAAAATGCCAGTTACAGCAGATTAAACGATTCTTCAACAAATGATTTTTTTATGATTACATGATCTGTCCTTATTTAAAATTTCATTTTTCCATAGAATAAAACTAAGCGCATTAAAAATATAGAGGTGTCTCTAATTTTCTCAAGTTTAACGTACATATTGCCAGACAATGATCATTCCTCAAGTGATGTGTCAGAGATAGACAGAGGATGACACCGAGTCCTTATTCACCTTTTGTGCTCCTGTGCAAGGAGTAGGTAGAATCCTACACCGTGCATTCACTGAATGCTAATGAAAGAAATGTTTAGTGCTGTCTCAAACACAAGACATACTACAAGGACCACTGGTGGGAGGTATTGCTTGCAGCACTCTGCTACAGGATATATCAACGGCCAGTCTTGTGTATGCTCCTTCAGCATACTGAGACATTGTGCCTGCCTCCGTTTGCCACAGGCTGAGTACTACTTGAGTGCCCCTGTACACAGCTGTGGCTCTAAAAGCTGCAATCTGCTTCACACAGTGCATACACAGTAGTAAAAGAAATCCTAAAATGTGTAGCCATAATAACTGAAATCATACATGCACAGTAACCATGATCCAAATTTTCCCAGAGAAAATTTACACTGTACAGCCAATTTTTAAAAAAAGACACTAATGCTTAATTGCTGGGGTTATCATTGTGGAAAAATAATTAATTAAGTACAGAAGCTTCAGTTACATTGGTGAAAAGAAGCCAAAATCACTGAAAGCTCCACTAGCAATTTGGGCGGGTGATTGGATATCACCCACATGGAAATTTGACAAGAATAAAGTCCCTGCTGGCTTAGCAGATTCGGATAAGTCTTGATTTCATATTCTGACCCCACGATAAACTCTAGGATCTGTTTCTGCACTCCTTATGAAACTGAATGCAGTAAGTTACTCAATCAGATGACACTGAGGGGCATGCAAAAATACAATAGAAAAAGAGCTGCTGTGTCAGCTTGGCCTGGTTCTTTCCCTTCATCACTCTTTTTGACGCAGGCATCTTGTATCCCCACTCTGTGCTCAATGTTTTCTTGTAAGCCTAATTTTCTGTGATGGAGTCACAGTGACTGAAGAAATTCTTTAGCCAGCTGGTCACAATAGAACCTTTGTTCCACCGACAGTCAGATCTCTCACCATTGTATACAGTCGGTGACGGCAGAGCTATAAAGCTGCCCATGCAGTACTCCAGCAGTGCTGATCCCTGAGAAGAGTGAAATTCCTTTTCCTTGGTGTCATTTTCCTACACAATGAGAAATGTCTTGATGTTCTATCAGAGTTTGGGTCTGAATGGAGATTTTGCTTTTTATAAGTAAATGCATAAAAACTCGCTAATATGATGTTATATCTGAGCTTTACCCAGCACAAGCATAAATGTCAGGAAATACAAACTTGTGGTCCCCACAGCAACTGTATCACAGTCTCCTTTGGCTCATGCACTGTTTTCTATTGTCACCTTACTTGCCCAAAAAACATGGGAAACAAAGCCTTCTGAAAACATAAGGGAGTGATTTAGTTTGGAAAAAAGAAGATTAAGGGGGGACATGATAGCGGTTTTCAAATATCTAAAAGGGTGTCACAAGGAGGAAGGCGAAAATTTGTTCCTCTTGGTTTCTGAGGACAGGACAAGGAGTAATGGGCTTAAAGTGCAGCAGGGGAGGTTTAGATTGGACATTAGGAAAAAATTCCTAACTGTCAGGGTGGTCAAATATTGGAATAAATTGCCAAGGGAGGTGGTGGAATCTCCCTCTCTGGAGATATTTAAGAACAGGTTAGATAGACATCTGTCAGGGATGGTGTAGGTGGAGCTTGGTCCTGCCTTGAGGGCGGGGGGCTGGACTCGATGACCTCTCGAGGTCCCTTCCAGTCCTATTATTCTATGATTCTATGATTCTATGATTTTGAGGTGCTGTATATGGAATTTTTTTTGTTAAAACATATACCTTAAATATGGCCATGTTCAAACTGCTTGGGTACAAGAAGGGAACCACCGTACTTCTTGACTTTTAATGTGTGTTGCTCAATCATAGCTTTGAATTAATGGGCTTTTTAGGGGAACGTTCATTTTTTGCATTAAAAAATAGTCACGCATTACTGCAATGTGCTGCAAGAGACAGAAAGGACTGTAAAACAAACCATGTGGCTTATCTGAATAATTGCACAAACTCAATATTTGAGATGCTGTGCACTGTCTGTTCTGCGAGTTGTAGAAAGCCTTGTTGGTGTAAGGAGCTTTAATAACTGTGATGACTGCATGGGACTACTACACTTTTAAAGTCTGAACAATAATATATAGCAGAATTTAAAGGACATGTCCACTTGGCAGTAGTTATAGCAGAGACTGATAAGAGACTGTACCCAAAGAGAAAGTGGTAATTGACATTGTTTGTAAAGATAAAATCATTACTGAATTTTATGTATTACTTTATTTGTTGTTGTTTTATCTCCCTCATCTAATGAAAGCTATTATAAAAACTTTGTTTTATTAACTAAAAATAGTATTTGATCTTGTAATTAAAAAAGACTGTCATAATGCATACATAGGTACAATCAAAGGGGCACAGTTAAGATTAATTAGGTTTATGCCTTCTCCTCCACCCTTCTTGAGGTATAACTTGGCTGCAGAGTTAACCAGGGACTGATTACTCAAGTAAGCCAAGCCCGAGTAGGAATGGCCACAATATAAAGCCGTACTCAGATAATTCCACACTGGTGCTGCATCGCTTGTGTTAAGCTTTAGCACTTCTGAAGAGTATAGCCCATGATGTTCAGCACTGCTGTAAGCAGAGCCATTCTATGATTCTTTTTCAGTCAATTGTGGGAGAATTTCTCTTGGCACACAGGGACTTGTGGAAAGACATGGGAGGATTAACACCACTTGATCGGCTTAGCTTGGGTCTTCACTGCAAAGTAGGTGCATTACCTGTCTGAGTATAAAAAATACATGGGCTTTAGCTTAATGTATATACCTCAGGACAACTAGCCTGGGTATATCACCACACTTGGGTGAAAGGGTAGACAAGAGCCAGGTTAGGGGCTACCATCCAAAAAAGAACCTGAGTTGTCTTCGGGGCAAAGTTATATCTCATATGAGGGCCTTAGACTTTGTCTTAAACTGAGTTAATGCTATTATAGTGACTTACCCTTAAGTTAATTACTTTTGAGTTAGCTTGAGAGAGGCCATATTATGAAATAACACTTGTGTAGCTCAAAGTGGTTGGATTACTGCACTATATTAATAGCACAGGGATATCTGCTAGCAGCTGATGAGCTATTTCGAGCTTTAGCATACATCTACTGATGGATCCTCCAACTCATGTTACCGGTCTGTGTGTGTGGATAGGACACAAGATAGGGACAATATTCAAGATATAACTTGAACTAACTTTGCAGTGATGACAAGCTCTGAAAGGTTTATAAAAAGAGGTTTTCTGTACAGGAATTCAGGAGTCCTCTATTCTGATCCTAGGTATCGAATAGTGAACTAACAAAATGAAATCACAAGTATTAAGGAAATGGAATGTGATCAACCAAGAAGGAAAGAAATATGTTTATTTAAACACTTTAACACTTATTCAATTCAATTGTAAATACATAGAAAAAGAGCTTTTAGGAATTCAATTCCCCACACTGTAACTAATAAAACATTCTAATATATATCTCTAAATCACCCAAAAAGTTAACAGATGAGATGAATGAAAAATAATTAGAACAAACCCTGAAAGCCAATAAACAAAAAAAACCACAATCAAATCCCTCTCCCAGCAAAAAATTTTCAGACAAACTATCTTTTTTTTCAAGCCAACTTTAACTAACGACAGTCTGTCTATTCACAATAAGTGTTAAAAATATCATAGTCCGCTTCTGAACAAGAGTGATCTGTCATAAGCTCCAGGTCCAAAATTCTTCTCGCTTATATTATGCTATGCGCAGATTGTCTGACTGGCTGTCACCCCTATCTCTTACAGGTCATGCATATAGGTGTGCGTACACATGGATAGGATAGTTTGTATAGCACTTTGGAATCCTTTGCAATTAAAGGTGCTGTATCAGTATAATAGCATATTATTTATTATTACACAACTATGACTTTTTCTATTAAATGGGATTGAATTCAGCTGCTAGGAGAACCATAACTTTGGATTTCATGACTTATGTGTTTTAATTCTGAACCACTGTGCTACTTTCATTAAGCTTTTTACATTGACTAGAGATAATAGGCTGTAGAAAAACCTGTTGGGCTATCACATATAACCTCTTGCATTGGTACAATTTTTACCACATGAATCCTATTAATACTATATATGTCTTATTGATGGCTTTCGTGCTGACAACAACTACTTTTCTGGGTAATTTATTATATTACCCACAAGTTTTCTTCTGATATTGAGAAATATTTACTTATATTCAAACCAAAATATTTCTGTTTTTTGTTTTTAGATAATTACTCATTTTACCCTTCAAAACTACAAAAAGTAACTCCCTTCTAATATTAATCCTTATTTAATATCTGCATATCTCCTTTTTCTCAATTATTTTTCAGACAGAACTGCTCTCATCTGCATATTAAATTGTTGCTTTCTCCCCATACTGAAGATCCTGGCACTGCTAATGTGTAACATTAAGTCCAAGCATAAATGTTTGTAGGATTGTACCTATTTTTATAAAATGACTAATGATTGTTTCTGGCAGTTTTTTAACGAAATGCAGGCAACTAATAGCTCTTTACTGTAAAACAAGCCTTACCTGTTCCAGCATATTTATCTGCCATGTTGATGTCAATGTCCAATTTTAAATTCAGCATAGTCCTGATGACATCATCACTGCCTTTCCCAGCTGCCCACATAAAGGATGTTCTTCCCTCTAGATCTGAGTCATCTTTCACAGAGGGATGTTTCAAAAATACTTGAACTGTTTCCTGCAGGAAAACTTCACTGTGTAAGAATGCCACTGGCATTAACATAAAAAAAGAGCCTCTAATGACAGAAGAAACGATTGTTATGTTTTGCTTAGCAGCTTTTGATTAAAAAGCAAAATAAAAGCTTCATTTTTTCCTTTTTCAAGTCTCATAACATTGCTGGCTTGTAATATCATCACTTGTATAGTGTCGGAGGAATCTCATTCCTGATCACTGTGTTATTCTGTTACTATACCTATTTCTTGTTTATAACAAACATGGCTTTGTCACAAGTTATGAATAAATTGGTCTTATTCTGATACCATTTCTTGCTTTTCTGTAACCTGAATTTTACCATGAAGCATCATGCATACATAATTAGAATTCACAAGACATACAATCACTGTGAGGGAAATGATCAAAAACATGACTAGAAATAACCATGTTGATATACAGCTGAGCAATTCAAGAAAAAAAATCCTTTTCTTTAAATTTGAATACTACTCCACACGGATACAATTTAATTTTCCAAAGCTCTTATAACAGTTCTGCCATATAAGTAACATCTTTGGAGACAAAACTACTATTTCTAATAGTCAATAAAGTAATCAGATTATTGAATTACTAAAATATAGTAAATCAAAGATTAACAAAGATATTACAGCTTAGCCCAGGCTTTTCTGTGTAGTTGACAGACTAGACCCTCTCTAAATCATGGGGAAAAAACAAAACAAAACAAAAGGTACTGCACTTTTCCCTTGAGTGATGCTTCAATTTTAAACTGTCAATTACATAAGAACTTTTTAATTCACCTCCCAGCATCAATGCTTGATTAGTTTCTAAAATAGCAAACTATAAGAAAAAGAAATATAATGATCTAAAACACAGAAAAATCACTCTTCCCAGCTCTCTGGGCTAGGTATATGTGCTCTGAGCTCACAAGGACCTACCAGCTGAAAGCCAGCCAGTTTATATTGTTCCTTAGATCAGCTTAAATTCCTGTAAGCTGAGTGCTTTAGCAGCCACCTAGGAGATTCAAATGCCAGACAGCTAGCTGATCAGCAGAGTGCCCACAGCCAGAAGCATGTGTTTCGTGGTGCACATTTATGCATGCCTCAGTGCACATAAGAAAATTTACTGCGCATATAGATGGAAAAAATTAGCGGGAACATTGGTTTACTCTATCACTTGTTTCAGTATAACTTACATTGCTCAAGGGTGTGAATAAGACAGAACTTGAGCTATATCAGTTACACCAACATAAGCACAAGGATGGATTCCACTATGTTATTGGGAGACCTTCTCCAGCTGATGTAGGTACCATGTTTAATGGTGGAGGATTTATTAAATTGAGGGAAGAGCTCTCTCCTGTTGGTAGAAAGCATCTTCACCAGATGCACTACAGTGGCTCAGCTGCATTGGTGTAGCTGTACCAATGTAGTACTTCTAGTATAGATTAGCCCTAGGTCAAACACAAGGGCTACGTCTATACTGGCCCCTTTTCCGGAAGGGGCATGTAAATTTCACCTATCGTAGTAGGGAAATCCGTGGGGGATTTAAATATCCCCCGCGGCATTTAAATAAAAATGTCCGCCGCTTTTTTCCGGCTTTTAAAAAAGCCGGAAAAGAGCGTCTACACTGGCCCCGATCCTCCGGAAAAAGCGCCCTTTTCCGGAGGCTCTTATTCCTACTTTGAAGTAGGCTCTTATTCCTACTTTGAAGTAGGAATAAGAGCCTCCGGAAAAGGGCGCTTTTTCCGGAGGATCGGGGCCAGTGTAGACGCTCTTTTCCGGCTTTTTTAAAAGCCGGAAAAAAGCGGCGGACATTTTTATTTAAATGCCGCGGGGGATATTTAAATCCCCCGCGGATTTCCCTACTACGATAGGTGAAATTTACATGCCCCTTCCGGAAAAGGGGCCAGTGTAGACGAGCCCAAGTTGTTCATCTCAATACTGGAGTAACGTGGTGAAATATAATGACTGAGGGTCAGACTAGATGGCTGAATGGCCCCTTCTGGCCTTAAGCTCTGTGAATTTATGCATCTAACTTGCAGAACAACAATCCCTGTTTCTGAAATAAACCCACTTATTTAACTGATGCTAGTTCTGTAGTTAACATCTGTAATAAAGGAAGGGATAGTAAGATTTATTTCAAAGCATTAGTTTGGGAGAGGGAATTATGGACCCTAGAAGGAACACATGAAGGGCTAGTACAAATGCTTGGTATTTGATAGTACATACATACCATTAAAAGTGACAAAGTGTAAAATACTTACACTTTCATTTTTTATCTGTTTGTCTATGCTAAATGAATGATCAGGTGAAGACACAAGGAAAAAATACATGCTAAACGGTACCTTTGTGGAAATAACTTGAGAAAGCTTGTATTCGGTGAATTGACTGGAATATTACAACCTTAGGACAGTCAAGTATGAACATTCAAAACGCAGGACAGTCAAAGATGAACACTACTGAGTTCATCTTGATTTCCTGAGCTCTCTAAACAGTGAGTAGGCTACTGTTTGAGTTGAACTTAATGTATTCCAGTTGTTACTGAAAGTGGGAAAGAGCTAATGGAGCTGTCTTCTGAAGGCTGGGTTTTGTAGCCTGGTAGAAGATGAGATGGGCAGCTTAAGCCTGGTTGTCTATACAGACAGCATCAAAGCAACAAAGCTCCCTTTTAAAAAGGAATTGTGCTTGCTAAATGTAAAATATCTTAGTGCTACCACAAAGCAGGGGCAAACTGGTAATGAATTTATGCATCTCTCAATGAGGCTTCAGTCATTCCTCTGAGAATATAAGAATGACTGTACTGCATCTGACCAATGGTCCCATCTAGCCTAGTATCCTATCTCTGACAGTGCCCAAGGACAGGGAAGTAGTGGAGTCTCCATCCCTAGCGGTGTTTAAGTCTCGGCTTGACAAAGCCCTGGCTGGGTTGATTTAGTTGGGATTGGTCCTGCCTAGAGCAGGGGGCTGGACTTGATGACCTTCTGAGGTCTCTTCCAGCTCTATGATTCTATGATTCTAAGGCCAGATGCTTCACTGGGAATGAACAGAATAGGGCAATTATTGAGTGATTCATCCCTCATTTTCCATTCCCAGTTTCTGGCACTTAGAAAGTTAGGCTAGCCAGAGCAAGGAGTTGCATCCCTGATTATTTTGGCTAATATCTGGTCATTTTTTGAACCCACTTTGGCCTTCACAACATCCCCTGGCAATGAGTTCCACAAGTCGATGGTGGATTGTGTGACGCAGTACTTCCTTTTGTTTCTTTTAAACCCATAGCCTGTTAATTTTATTGAGTGACCGACCAATTCTTGAGTTGCATAAAAGGGTAAATAACACTTCCTTATTTATTTTCTGCACCCCATTCACAATTTTTGACATCTCTATCGTAACTTCCCTTAGTTGCCTTTTCCAAGCTGAAAATTCCAGTCTCTAATGTAATCTCTAATTCTAGCCAGGATGGTAGGAATGGCGTCCCTAGTCTCTCTCTGTCAGAAGCTGGAAATGGATGACAGGAGAGGGATCACTTGATTACTTGTTCTGTTCATTCCCTCTGGGGCACCTGGCATTGGCTACTGTCGGAAGACAGGATACTCGGCTAGATGGACCTTTGGTCTGACACAGTATGGCCGTTCTTATGTTAATCTCTCCATAACCCTAATAATTTTTGTGGCCCCTTTCGGTACCTTTTCCAAGTTTAATATATCTTTTTTGAAATAAGGCAAGTCTCAAGCATGCACGTTGTGGGCATATCACAGATTTATATAGTAGCATGATGTTATTTCCTATAATATTATACCTTTCATTGTACCATATCATATCTTTCCTAGTAGTTCCTAATATTATGTTAGCTTTTTGACTGCCACTGCACATTGTGGATAGTTCTCTGAAAACAAAGACACCAAGATCTCTTTCTTAAGTGATAACTGCTAATTTAGAAACATAATTTGTATGTATAGTTGGCATTAGGTTTTCTCAATGTGTATTATGTTGCATTTATCAACACTGACATTTGTCTTCCATTTTGTTGCCTGATCACCTACTTTTGTGAGACCCTCTGCAATCTACTCTGGATTTAATGATCTTGAGCAATTTTGTATTATCTACAAATTTTGCCACCTCTTTTTCCAGATCCTTTATGAATATGTTAAATAGCCCTGATCCCAGTACACATCCTTGGTGATTTAGTCCTCTCTATTCTGAGGGCTGATCATTTATTCCTATTCACAGGCTTTCTGAATGTTTAAATATTCTTCATCCACTCGATCACCCTTATCGATGTATTTGTCAACCCTCAACACAGAATTCTAAGACTGGTGAGCCATTATTTCCCTTTACAAAAGCCATCTTGATTCTTCCCCAACAAATCATGTTCATTTATTTGTTTGATAATTCTGATTTTTACTACGGTTTCAACCAATTTGTCTGGTACTGAAGTGAGACTTTATGGGCCTGTAATGGCAGAGTCGCATCTGCTTCCTTTTTTAAAATGTGGCATCATATCAGCTATCCTACAGTCATTGAGTACAGAAGCTAATTTAAAGGATAGGTTACATACCACAGTTGATAGTAATTCATATTTGAGTTCCGTCAGAACTCTTGGATGAATACCATCTGTATGCAGCACTGATTGCTATTTAACATATCAATTTGTTGCAAACCCTCCTCTACAGCCCCTCACGCTGGGACAACTCCTCAGATTTATATCCTAAAAGAATGGGTCAGGTGACTCTCCCTCATGTTCTGAGTGCGGTGCGGGAGCTGGGAGTCAGTCCATGCCAAAAGCCAGCTTAACAGGCAACTCTTGGCACGCATCAGCTCCCCTGGAGCAGAGCCAGCAGGTGGGAGCCTGTACACGCTGGGAGCCGGTTTAAAAACTACAGAAGCAGCAGTGTGGCCTCGGGCTGCCACTCCATTCGGTGGGTGAATGTAACACACAGACACAACTACCTGCTTTTTAATATCCCTACTAGAGAAACTGACCCTTATAGTTTGAAACTGCTCAAGTTCCATCATCTTCTCAGATATGATGTGAATATGGAGCTACTCCATATTGAACTATGGAGCTATGCAATAAGAAAGACTATTTTTTAGCCATGTTTCATGGAACAAAAGCTAGAATTATTATAGGAGATATTAAGAAATTAATCCATTTTAAAGCCAAACCTACTGTACTAAAGGCCACCAGCTACATAAGTACACCACAGATATCGATGATCTCACTATGCACAGCTCATAAGTGCTAGGTTTAAAAATGTAGCAAGGTTCAGAAAGAAATCCACTGTGAAACATCAGCTAAGAGGTATATAATTCCTTTTTCTATTATTATGTGGAGTTCCTAGGATATAGACTATTGTTTCAAAATCAATACACAATTTTTTAAATAATCCATCGTCTATATAACATACAATACAGGAAAATTCTGAATAAAACTTGCGAACACACCTCTGGATTCAGATTACTCTACAAAACATTTGAAATCTGTTATCAGGACTACCCTATTTACCACAATAATTTGTACAATCTATGTTATATTTTTAAAAAATATGCTTTATATTTGAGATATTAAACTGATGAGAACAGATATATCACACTTACAGCAAAGTTGCTCTGTGCCGCGTAATGTAAGGGTGTTGCCCCTTGGCTATCAGATGGGATAGTTCCAAGTTTATTTCTTTCTAAGAGAAGATGGACAATCTGTGCATGGCCTGAGAAAAGAGCAGAAATTAACAATGAACAATATATTCACTCACTAGGGGTACGTCTAAACTACATGCCTCTGTCGACGGAGGCATGTAGATTTGTGTATTCGAAAAAGGGAAATGAAGCCGCTTCATTTAAATTTACATGGCTGCCGCACTGATCAGCTGTTTGTCGGCTCCGGGCGCTAGTCTGGACGCTCCCTGTCGAAATGAAAGCCTTTTATCGACATCCCCTGTAAACCTCATCCTACGAGGCATAAGGGAGATGTCGATAAAAGGCTTTCAGGTCAGCGCGGCGCGGCCAGACTAGCGCGCAGAGCCAACAAACAGATGATCAGCTGTTTGTCGGCTCAGCACAGCAGCCATGTAAATTTAAATGAAGCCGCGATTATTTAAATCACGGCTTCATTTCCCTTTGCCTATCTGTCTAATCTACATGCCTCCATCGACGGAGACATGTAGTCTAGACACACCCTAGTTGCTTTGCTTTGTAGATCTTCTTTCCTATTAAACAAAAAAAAAAAAAAATAACAAACATTAATAAATATTGGGACATTCAAAGAAATTTTTTAGACTTCATATGAGTTTTATGTTGCATCTGTCCAACGTGGCATGCTGTTTTTGTTAATGGTGTTTTAGTTCCACTATTCCTTCTATTCTCATCTTTTGCAAGCCACCAAGGAACCATGATAGCCTGGGAAGATGAAAATGAGGAAGAAGTAATTTAGCATCTATTAGCATGGTCTGTTGGTTTGATGATGTTTTCATGCTCTCTTCTTGTGGATTCTGGAGTGACTCTGAAGTCCAAAGTATGATGTGCATGCTCGTGAGTAGACCAAGCAAACAAAGTCATGGGTGAATGTCTTGGTAGATACAGCTGTGGTATAATCCTTTTCCCTTGTAGCTAACGGTAAAACACAAAAGGCTATGATAGCGTGCTACTATACCAGCAACAGTATTTATCAGAAAACAGTCTACTATTCTGTAATAAGTGAGGTGGATATTTCCTTACGAGGCTTTGGAATTACAACCAAAACCTTGAATTTCACTCAGTGGTCAGTTCAAGACAGCAAAGTGAGCCGTGGTCTGGGCCGATGTGCTTTTGGCATCTGTGTTGCTTAAATGAGCAATTTTGTTTCAAGACACAGTGTGCTGCACGAATCAAGTTGGGAGGTCCTTAATCAGTTTTTATTCAAGCATAATTCTCATTGAAGATTGTGGTAATTTGACAAAGAAAAAGATGAAAAAAAAAGTAACCTCGGGATTTGGCCTCTGGTTATTATTTCTTGTAATCATTGAGAAGACTTCTAAGCAGTCCCAATTTCTTCACCCAATACTGCCAAGTTTCCCCAAGAACAGCAATTATTTAAACTCTTATGTTCCAATTCATAAAAAATGAATTCTAGATGAGAAAGTTATTTACCTTATAGTTACAGGTGGTTCTTTGAGATATGTGGTCCCTATTTGTATTCCACTGTGGATGCTCATTCACGTCAAGTACAGCCGTTCTTGCACAAGAACCCGCAGAGCATCCACACGGCCCGCCTGCTCTTGAGCAAGGAAATTTACAGTACGGCGTGGTAAGAGAGGGCTTCTTGCGCAAGAGCTATGCTCTTTTCTAACAGGTGTAAGCTCTCTTGCACAGGAGCTCTTGCGCAAGAGGGCAGTGTAGACACCCGGCAGGGATTTCTTGCGCAAGAAAGCCCTATGGCTAAAATGGTCTTCAGAGCTTTCTTGCTCAAGAGAACATCCACACTGCCATGGACGCTCTTGCGCAAAAGCACATGCGCAAGAAGGTGTAGACATAGCCTTAATGTGCTTAGAGTTAGAGAATTCTTGCAAGTAGTGTCTGTTGGTCTGTGCATGTGCTCTTACTATGCTTGTGCCTCAAGCCCAGGATATAGAGGTGGAGCAGACTGATCACCTCTCCAATTCCTTCTCTATTGCAGATTCAGCAGTGATCCAAAACAGAGAGGGAAGCAGGGCGCATAGTGGCATACAAGAAGGTACACACCTTTCAAAGAACCAGATATGTAACCTACTTTTCTTCTTTGAGAGCTGGTCATTATGTGTATTCCCTTGCAGGTGAATGAAAATCAGTACTGAAGTACAATGCTAGGGTACAGATGGCAGAGCCATCTGAAAGATGGCCTCTGCTAAGCAGTCCTGATTAACGCATAATGTCTCATGAACGTGTGGCTGGGAACTCCATGTAGATACCTTGCAAATGTCAAGAAGAGGTACATCCTGAAGCGATGTCACAGATGTCACTTGCACTTTTAGAATGCCCTTACCCATAGAGGAGGAAGATGTGACAGCAGGTAGAAGAGCGGCATACAGCTGGAGATTCATTTTGAGAGAAGGGGAGTATCTTGTTCAGGAGAGAAGCGTTTCAGCTGAATGGAAAAATACCTTCACTTGACTAAAGAGCATTTCTTAGAGGGATATTTTCTGCTGTTATTAAGGATGGTTTGCATCACTTGAGAGCAAGGAACTGTCTGGGGCTGAGAGCCATCTAAAACCCAAGCTATGAGATGAAGTGCTTCAGGGTTGGGATGCTTCTCCCAGGTCAAGGGATCCCAAAATGACTGGTGGAACTTGCACCTGATGGCAAAATGCCTGCTCAGAATGTCCACCAACATATTCTGAGTTCCCAAAAGGTTGGCTGATGATAGGGCAATTTGTTTCTTGATATACCAAGTCTACAAAGTGAATGCTTCCACACACAGGGGGATGGATCATGCCCCTCCTTGTTTGTATGTACAAAAGACAGTTGTCATATTGTCCGATATTATAAGGACATGGAAGTGGATACATTGCACAAAGGCCTTGCAAGCTTTTGGATTGCCCAAAGTTCTAGAAGATTGACATGCATCCTGGCTTCATGGGGCATTCAAGTGTCCTGTGCTGTCTGGCTGTTCATGTGGGCCCACAAGTCCAAGAGGGAGGCTTCTGTAAGGAACATTCTGTCCAGTGACCAGGAAGGAGACACCCACACATAACGGATAGGGATCCTTCCTCCACATTATAGATGACATTATTAAAGAGCTTCCCTAATTATCACTCCTAATATCATTAACCCACAGACATTCACCTTCCCCTTCCCATCCCCCTTCTGTTCTGAAATTTGATTTGTCCTTTTCATATTTGTTCATTTTTTTAAATTGTATCCTTTGGTATATATGGTTGTGACTATTTTCTTCCACTATTTGATCTGAGGAAGTGGGTCTGGCCCACGAAAGCTCATCATCTAATAAACCATCTTGTTAGTCTTTAAAGTGCTACATAGTCCTATCTTTTGTTTCATTATTAAAGAACTGTCACTCTGGTATTCATACTGTATTTGGCTAGTGAATACACTATTGGGTGTCATGCCTCTAGGCAAGGCAGTGGAATCCAGTGAATGGGACTGTGATGTTGACAGACTAGGTGCCAGTTCGAGCCAAGGCATCACTGAATAGCAAATATACAGCTAGAAACCAGCCTTGCTTACCTGAGTGTTAGTAATATCACAATAAATATAAGGTGTGTGAGTTGACAAGAACATGTTCAGTAGATTATAAAATGCTAGTGGGAGGCTGCATGTATTCTTTTCACTCAACTACATTTCATGTTATAAAGTGATAGCAAGCATTTGCACTGTAAACCTCTGTGACTACTATAATAATATAAATACATGGAGATATACCATTTCATAGAACTGGAAGGGACCTTGAGAGGTCATTGAGTCCAGTCCTCTGCTGGAGGACCAAGCAGGACCAAGTACCATCTGTGACAGATTTACCCCAGATCCCTGAATGCCACCCCCCTCAAGACTTGAACTCATAATCCTGGGTTTAGCAGGCCAATGCACAAACCACTGAGCTATCTGTCCCCTCCACCAAACAGGAAAAAACACTTTTACAGTAATGAAAAGGATGGTCGCTAACAAGATGATGTTAAATCCTGTTCATTAAATGCAAAAAAGCCATTTGGGTGAGAGCACGGATCACAGACTTAATTAAGTGAATTTCTCCCCCCTCCCACCCCCTTCTCCCCATGAAGAAGGAAACTGCATGGGAGCTGTTTCTATCAGTTTAATTTCTGAAAGAAGATATATAAATGCCAAGGAAAAATGAGAATCTCTTTGCTGTTTGAATTCTCATTGGGCCAGAGACACTAAATTAAAGCAGAGCTCCTCAGAGTTAACCTGGGTCTGCATGAAACGGAACATCTGTTCTTTTTGAGAATCATAGATGGTAACTCATTTATATATTATGCTTGTTTGCTTTAACCTTTACATAACTCATTTCCTGTTCCTAGTTTATAAATCTGTACAGGCAGTCCCTGGGTTACGTACAAGATAGGGACTGTAGTTTTGTTCTTAAGTTGAATTTGTATGTAAGTCGGAACTGGTACATATTGTAGGGGAAACTCTAGCCAAACATTTCTCCAGAGCTCAGTTTTATTCTCCCACACCTCACTTCCCTCAGTCCTTTATTCTCAAGCTGAGGTGTCTGCTGAGAAAAGCCGCTCCGCGTCTCCCTGGTTTGCTGTGGGGGGCGCTAGCTTCGCGTCTCCCTGGTCTGCTGGGGGGAAGCAGCTAGTGCGGGGTTGCCTCACCCCGTTTGTAAGTAGGGATCCGATGTAAGTCGGATCCATGTAACCCGGGGACTGCCTGTACATAATTTATTACAGGACTGGCTACAAGTGTTATATTTGGTATAAGATCTAGGGTGCCTGAGTTGAGGGCAATGGTCTCTGGGGACTGAAGGCAACCTGAATATTTTGTGATTTTTGGTGTCAGTGATCATTTATCACTAAGTTCAAGTTGGCTGAGTTCTCATAAAAAAGTTGAGCTTTAGCAAAGGGCAGGTCCTCCTCATGGTCTCTTAAACTTTCATGGGAAATTCCAAAGTTTGCAGCCAGTACTCACCGCACATTGCAGTGCCCATATCACTTCTAATCATCAGTTTACTATATTCAATAAAAGCCTGGAACTGAGCTCTGCCTTGTTGTGGCAGCTGCGCACGTTCTGGCGGCCTGGCAAGGGGTTTAAATGCGGTGCCAGGGCGGCAGGAAGAGGGGAGGCGTGGAGGAAGAGGAGAGCGGAACGAGGGGGCTAGACGGGCAGGAGGAGGCCTAGGGAATAGCAGCCCCAAGGGAAGGAGAACCTCAGCGCCGTGGACGGAAGGCTCCGGGCGGGCGGCTGAGAGAACAACCTCCACCTCGACGGGTCCCGAAGAGCAGGGGGAGACCAGGAGGACGACCCCTGGGAAGGGTCGCGGGAGACTGAACTGGGGGCGACACCGTTGGCGGATGAGCCCTTGGTGTCGACAGCTCCAAACCCGGTGCTCATGGGACCCTTACGCCCGATACTGTGGATGAAGCCCCCGCTGGGACCGAGGGGCGATTGCCGCTGCCATAGCATTTGACCGACGTAGGAACGAGCCTAGGATGGGGGAATCGCTACAGACAACCCCCCCGAGAGGGGTGGTGAGTGTGTCGGTTTGGCTCACCATTCAAGTATGGCTCTGTTGTCGTACCTTTGAGGGTCCTGGGTTGGAGCTTGGGAGTGCGGGTGGGCCCGAGTTCCCCTACGCAGCTGGTGACTGGACGGAGGTGCTGAGGGGGCGAAAGGCAGAGACCACCCCAAAGACTGACAGGGCTACGGCCTGGTTAACGTCCCGTGAGGAGGGGATTGAGGTAGTGGAGACTAAGAAGCGGGCATCGGAGAGAAGGTGCGGGACTGGAACTTTTTATTAAGCCGGCGTCCATAAGATAAACGGCTCCCTGGGTAACGGGGTGAGTCCAGGCAGGCCCAGCCCCAGCCCCAGGGGCCAGCGAGTCCTCCTGGTGGAAAAGGAGCCCAGATTAAACCCGGGACGGGACCCTGCTATTTAGTAGGAGGGAAACTCCGTCCCACATATACCACAGGGAGAGAGGCATAGGTAACAAGCTCCCTCTAAGCATTATGATGTAATTCAAATTGTTGCTATTGATTTTTCAAGTCCTGGCTAGTTTGAGTCCTGAGAAACTGCCTCTTCATCTATTTAAATTGAGAATAGCTAATATGTTCTCAATGACTACTCTTAGATTTGAATGCATGGTCTCCTGCTACAGGGCATTTTCAGTGGAAGACCTCAGACTCTGGAATTTGCTTCCCAGCTTATCATAATTATTCTACAAAAATGAATTAACAGTGTCAGGAAAAAATTTAATAGTAATAAGAGATAGAATAAAAATAGGCAACTGCCCTAAATAAGTTTTACGTTTAGTGTTATTCAATTCACCTAGTAAAGCTGCCCAGTGAAGTGGAGTTCTAAAGAGATTGTCATAAGATGTCACATTGCAGCCTTCATAAGAGGTCAACACATCAACCACTGCCAGATTCCCATCAGCAACTGCAAAATGAAGGGGGGTTCGTCCTTCATAGTCCTGCCAGTTCAATAAAGATTCTGTGGGAGCAGCATCCTGTTTAACAAAAACATCAGAAACATAAAAATATATTATAAGTTTGAAAGAAAAACTATATACCCTTAATGGATGGTAAAAAATGCCTCACAACAGGCAAGAGATGAAGTGTCACTAATGAGTACAACAGGGACTAGACAGTTTTATTACCAATAACCTAAACTAAATCTACAGCTACCTACACATATTTTTACTGATGTTTTTGATATCTAACACAAATTTATCTTGCAGTATTTCATCTTCAGTTCACACCAATGGGTTTTGCCCTAGCCATTTAGTGTGGACATATTTGTACACATACTTAAAGGACTGACTCCAAATTTCTTGGAAAACATAATTTGATCTCCTCACGGTCTCTTTTTTCAAGCTTAACAAACTGTGTAGATGCTTTCTTTACCACAAATTACTTTTAAAATACTCCTCTTTACCACAAATTACTATTGTTATTGTTGCCTACACACTTTCTAAAACATGAAGCTCAATTCAAATAAAATCAAGGACCCAGAGTTGTTGACTCGAGTCTCACGACTTGAACTCGAGTCCAACTTAAGTCACCTAGGTGACTCGACTTGAGACTAGACTCAGGTTCATTGTTTGTGACTTATGACTCAACATGAGACTTGCTAATTTTGTTAAACTGACTTGGTGAAAAAAATGTCCAAAAATGCCGCTACTGATGGCTTGTACAAAAGTGACTTGACTTTTTTTAAATTAAGACTTGAGATTTGACTTGGGACTTGAACTGTAGTGACTTGAGACTCAACTTGGACTTGACAATGACGACTTGAAGACAACACTGCAAAGACCTTTCCGGTATTTTTTATTTTTAAACACTATAGTTCTATAAAACTGTGAGTTACTAACTGGCTGAAGTTTGGTGATTTAAAGACCTTTTTTAAAACATGTAATATAAAATTTTATTAAACTATTGAATGAAGTATTGCAGATATATGGCCTCTAGCTATACATTTCTAGAAAAATGAACAAGGAAGGTACATTTGAACTACAGATGTTAAGGACTAGTCGACTATACAATAAGCAAATGCAAACAGCTGAGTCAACTTCTATCCAACAGAGGCAGCAAAGGGGGGGTGGTAAAGAAGGGGTACTTCAAAACAATAGCACTGTGTGGAGCCCGTACCCTGGCTCCATGCGGCACTGCCACTTTGAAATGCCTTGGCAGTGTTTCAAAGGGACAGTGCTGCACAGCTGATCACGGGCTCTGTGCCATGCTGCCCCTTTGAAACACTGCTGCAGCGTTTTAAAGCAGCAGCGCCGCATAGAGCCCGGGGGCAGGTGGGGACTCCCTAGCTCACCCTGGGCTCCCTGTGGCATTTCCACAGAACCCGGAGTCAGCTGGGAAATCCCCAGCTGATCCCGGGTGCTGCTGCTTTGAAATGCCAACCGGAGCCTGGGATCAGCTGGGAAGGCCCCACCTGACCCCGGGCTCCGCACAGCATTTCCCTGGAATCCAGGATCAGCTGAAGATTCCCCAGCTGAACTCAGGCTCCAGCACTGCATTTCAAAACGCACAGAGCCCGGGGCCTCAGCTGATGCTGGGTTATGCAGAAATGCCACATGGAGCCTGGGATCAGCTGGGGAGTCCCCAGCTGACCCTGGCTCCACATGGCATTTAAAAGCAGCAGCACCACATAGAGCCCAGGGTTAGCGGGGGACTCTGAGTCCCCCACTGACTCCGGGATCCATGGGGGCCCTTCCACTTTGAAATGCAAAAGAGCCCCCATTAGGGGGCCTGTTCTAAGGATAAAGATTAAGATCCACTGCAGATAGCTCAATGGATGCCTGCCTAGTACAAAAACATCTTAAAGAGGAAGAAAACAGAGGCTGCTGTGATATTAAGGGGGAAATGCAGTCCTGCATTTCATACCTTTGTTTTATGTCACTGAAATTACTGGGAAGCCACAGAGTGAAAGACAGAGCAGAATTAGGTCCTAACATTTTGTATGACTTCAAGTAGTCCCTATAGTATATTCTAACAAGAACACAAGAGAGAGTCAAGAGAAGAAAAACACACACAGCAAAGGATTATTTAAGCTTTAAAAGGTGAATTGCTAGAGAGGACTATATATGATTCTGAATAAACTTTTCCAGTTCACACTGAACATTGGTTAGGTATAGCCTTAGTACCCGGACCCATAACACAAGAAACTGGATTAACACAATGGAATTAAGCGGCAGTGAACCTGGAACTAATGAAAAGAAACAAATGCACTGTGAAAGAGGTCACTGAGATAAATAATACATGTATTTAAAACTGTAGATTTTATAGCCCTGAAAACATTTATAGTCATGTAAATAATCATATCATGCTTCAGCCCATAAATTTACTATCCTTGGAAGTTAAGAAGGAATTCCTTTTCATCTTCAGTGTTGCACAATGGCCTAGGTACACTGTGAGGTATATGCTGTTTCTTATTAAACAATTATTGGACACAAAGGATTTCGCATTACAAGGACCAATGGAGTGGATCTATCAAATTTTATACTTCCACAAAACTGAAAATATATATCAAGAATACAGAAAAACAGACAGAAAGGAATGATTATAATAAATTTTCTCACCAGAATACATTTGACTGTGTGAATTGCACTGGGATCCTTGTGATTAGCTGCCCAGTGAAGTGGGATTTTGCCTTCAATATCAGGGATTCCAATATTAGAATCATGTTTTATAAGAAATTTCACATGCTCTGGGTTATTGTAGTAGGCGCTCCAGTGCAGAGCTGTTTGCTAGAATACAACATTCAAAGTTTTATAAACACATAAACTTTAAAAATTAAATTAAACGGATATAGTCTCAAAATTAATTTTGTGAAAAACTACTTAGAATTTATAAAAAGATATCTTCAAAGTAACTTTTCATAATTATCGCTAATCAGATTATATATTTTAAAGTGTAGAGATTTACACTATTTACACTGCTTTGCAACGTGAGCATTATTGTAAACCTGTAAATGAGGCTAAGATGTTGCCATGGATATTTTCAGTAAAAGTCACAGACAACAAAGAAAAATTTATGGCTCCCTCTTTTGTCCATGATAAACGGGGGAGCTGTGGAGTCCCCACTCCATCCAGAGTGGCTTCAGTTGTCAGGGGTATCCTGTTGTTCCTGGCCACTATGGGCAGCGGGGACTCTGTACTTTCAGGCCACTGCAGGCTGAAGTTACGGAGATTTCTGGAAGTAACAAATTCTGCTACTTATGAGACTTCTGTGATAAAATTGTAGCCTTGCCTGTAATAGGTCTCAGAATGATGTGTATAATATACAAGCTCAATCCTATACCCATTTATATCAAATTTTAATGGGAGTAGGTTTGAGTCTTCTATATCTAAAAAATATTCCTACTGATTATTAAACTGGATGGCTGTGAATTATTATTTACTAAGTACCTGTACTGATCATAGTTCCCTCTAAGGTGCATGGCTGCACAGCCGTGCACAATGCACTCTTTGCAGAGATGCGCTGCAGCACTCACCACTCACTTTCCTGCTGGACCTGCTGGAAGGTGAATGTCATGGTGGTGGGTTCCAGCTTGGCGGATGCCATGTGGCCCAGCTGGCGGGACCATGTAGCAGGTGGCTGCCCCGCGTACTGCAGCTGGAGCCGGGGCATGGTGAGACTGTCCCTAGTGTGGCAGCTTCACTGCGGCCCCGTTCCAGCTCTGATGGATGCCATGTGGCCTGGCTGATGGGGCCATGTGGCAGGTGGCTGCTCCAGCAGCCGGGTTAGGGCTGTGCGGTGGGCACCTGCTCTAGGGGATAGCTGCTCTGGTGGCTGGGATGAGGGCTGGAGCTGTGTGGCGGGCAGCTGCTCCAACGGCCGGCTGCTTATCTATTTATTTCTTTGTTTTCTCTTATTTTGTTTTATTGTTTTTCTAATTGTGCTAGAATTTAAAAATACAGAAAACCCTCAGAAAACAATATTAGTACACTAAATGGTGTCATGCTGTTTGTAGTGGTAGAATTTTCATGTTAAGAATTATTGTAAAAGCAATTTATTAAACAAACAGCAAGGTATAACCTAATAATTATTTTAGCAGGTAAACAGTATGAGTCAATTAAGTTTGTGACTGAACAGCAAGAGCTGTCTATACAATTCACCTGCACAGAGATTTTACTTGGAGATTTTCTATTTAAGTATATTTATCTGTAACACCTTTGGTTTATCTGGCATAGCAGTGTGTGCAGAAAGAATGGTACATCAGCATAAGAGAGGCACTGTATGCTATTCTACAGTATTCACTTCAAATGATTACTGGGAATGAAATAGGTGAGAATAAATTAGGTCAAGAATAGACTGTATCTTCAACTTAATGTTCTTGTTTCTCCAGTTGATCAGCACCAATTTTAAATGAGATGATATATACTAAACTCCACTACAGTGTATTATTATTGCACTACTTGTTCTTCAGTCAAGATGATCAGGGGTGAAATTCACTTCTGTGCAGAGGGTCAGCACAGGATCTATTCACCGTGGAAGTTCCACTCATACCAACCTTTGCTCTAGCAGAAATACTATAATCAACTGGCATAAGGGCTGTATCTTTCCATTTAAATCTCTGCCGTCTTAATTGTACATACTAAGAGGAAGAAGTAGCTTTGAACAAATCCCTTCTTTAACTCCACATTATTTCTTTGTTTCCAGCTTTACAAATACTTGTTTTTAAAAGTGGGAATGTTTTGTATTTGTACATATGAAAGAAACTTTTATTATATGTAAATTAAAGAAAGTGTTTAAAAATCTGCTTCCCAGGCAGTAAGATACAATATTCTCTGTTATTCTGACAACTGGCATTATTGTCCTGAACAAACTACCCTCACAAATAGAAATCGTGGACCCTTTTCTTTAAAAATTGGGGGGCTGACATTCTGTGCTGAACCATCAGGAGGCTTGTAGCTAGTGCAGAAGGTAGGTGTTCCCTGCTTCCTCTCAATTAATTTTCTTTCCTGCTATTTCCATGCTTAGTTCGGTGTCTTGTAAGCAATTTTAAAGCACTAGCATAATTTAGAAAAAAGTGTGCTTGTGTACATTTGTAAGATGCTGCATCTCTCTTCAGATGTTAACTCCTGCAGCAGCATGCCACAGCTCCCTGCACTACTGCAGAGGGGGGAAAGGAGTGCACTGCTCTGGATGCCACCTAGCTGTGCCAGTGGGTGTCTATGCTATTTGTGCGGCATTCTGCAGCACGGCCAAGTGGTCATGAGAAGAGGAAGGCTGGGCAAGGCACTCTCTGCACAGGCAGATACCTAGCAGCTCCAGATACAATGGCATGGAGGTGGCCCTGGAGACACAGGGCATCCTCTCACATGCTAGCCAGGAGTCACATGTCACACCACTGGGTGCCCCAGAACCATTTTGCACTTCAGTGGCACAAAGGTACCCTAAAGGCAGTGATCTCACTTCCCTACTTGGGTCTTACCCCCAGTTTAGATAGGGGATGCTCTAGCTTGCTTAGTGCCAATGAAATGGCTGTGTGAATCACCCTCCCCACTCCCCCCAGACAAACAAGCTCATGCCATATGGGCATTCTGGATGAAAACCAGAGCCATGCTGCCCTGTGCTTATTTTTGGCCTCCTATGACTTCTATTAAACTGTGGGCAGTGCAGACTTAGAGCAGCCTTAAGGCTAATCTAATATACGACAGTAGCTGCACATGCTTCTGGCAAGATGGAAAATACAGAAGGCACAAAGGAGGCTTAGATACATCTTTCACTCTTTCAACATTCCTGCACTGATGCACTGTGGTCATGCCTTGGTATCCTAATAAAAGTTGAGAGATGCTGTAATTCAAACTTTTCTGCTGGATCTCATACTCCTAATATTGCTAGAAAATCCTCCAACTTCCTTTTGGTGTTTTGAATTCTGACAGTGATCATAGGACTGGAAGGGAGCCTAAGAGATCATCTATCCCAGCTCGGGGAGGGCCTGGGAAAAGGCTATAAACACAGAAAGCTGGCTATGTAACATTTTGCAGTGTTTTCTTTTTATTTGACTTCATAGTAAACAAACATGCAAGTCATGAACCTTATTAATTATCCCTTGTTTTAGTATTCTTTCTTCCTTAACATTTTAAAAAATATATAATTTGTTAGTAACTGGTGGGTGCCACGGTAATGCACATCCAAACAAGCATACATGACCTCAATATTAGTGCACAAAACAAAACTCGCTCCACTCATGGATGAAAAATCTTAGAGGGAACACTGGTATTGATCAGCAGCTGTTATTACAGCAGTATGGTCATTTATGACCTAGAACTTCGGCTGTTGTCCTAGTTCTATGCATATAAGCAAAACAATAATTAGAGAGAGCAATAATAATGTCTCTCGGAAGTGTACAGTGTATGTGTGTGTGTTACAAGCTACAGACAATTCTGAAAGTAAAATATTTGCTTATTTTTTCACACAGGTAAAGTTCTTTGAAATACTGTAATTTAGTTAAATAAAACAATCCAACAAACAAAATCACAATTTTATAACTACATACATCATTTTATAACTACGTACATCACACTCTAATTACACATAAATGCTATAATTACAGATGAGATGACATTTTCCCTCTAAACCTTTTTTCAGTTTCTAATTACCTTTAGGCTGAAGTTTTTCATGCTTGGTTTCAAACACAGAATATAATTTCTTGGGAAGTTTCATAAAAATCTATTCACTTATTTTTGTTTTGCAAATCTGGATGAAAGTTTTTTGGTGCCGGGAATTTTTTCAGATACTTTTCTGTTATTCAGAAAACAGAAAAGCGCCTTTACCTCAAAATTTAAGATTTTTTTATCCACTCAATCCTGAATGAGAAAAAAGTCACTTTGCTTCACTTGAAGACATTTACGTTATGTCTGTTCAGCAATTAGACACCTGTTGCTGGATGTACTCACTCATTCATGCTTGTGGTACTCAGGCTGCAGGGCTGTTTCATTGCTGTGTAGAATTCCAGGGTTGGGCTGGATTCTGGTGTGTTGGACCCTGCAAAGTGTGAGGGTATCAGAGCTCGGTCTTCAGCCTGAGCCCAGACTTCTTTAGAACATTAAAACAACTTTGCAGCCTGAGCCCTAGTTAGTTGGCGTGGGCCAGCCATACATGACTAGTTGCTGCATAACCAGACCGTTTGTTTCATTAGGAAGATCTGGATATTAGCCAGGGTTTACATGTGATTTCACCTCTGCCTTGAAAAACAAACAAACCATTTAAAAACAAGAATATTTGAAGATATAGGACACCCCTTAATTATACATTTCTACAAAACACATTTCCACTTCACAATGAGCTTTCTTGTCCTACAACAACCAAGGAAATATGCTACACAATTTGTTTGCTGTCCCTAACAGTGTAACACAAACTTAACTGGGACTCCAGAAACATTAGTAAATATTCAATATTAATATATGTGCACAGGTTAACTGTGTAATGTTTTTTTGTTTGCTGGGTCTGAGACAACCTCAAAATTCCTCTCTTGTGTTTTTTTCCTTTCTCCCACACAAATAAGGATTTTATTCCTTCCTTCTTTCCATAAAAAGGGACTGTGTTTACTCCTTAAGTCGACACACATACAAAAGTATTTGCATAGCCATAGATTAGAAAGTCAGAGGGGACCAATGTAATAATTTAATCTGACTTCCAGTGTAACATATCCTGTTTGATCTAGAGCACACCTTTTAGGAAACCCTCCCACTAATCTTAATTGAAGCATTTCCAATGATGGAGAATCCACCATATAGTTTATTGTGACATTTCATGTGCTTGTTACAGGTTAGCTCACAAGTAAAGTATATTTGTAGCCTTAACTATCAGCTTTCAATTTTTGCATCCACATAAATGAAAAATGCAGATTCAGCAGTATTAGGGTGAGCACCATTAAAAAAACAACATTTTGATGATTGTGGATCCGGATTCATGTAAATTGATTTTTAAAGATTTTTCTCTTTCCTCCCCCCCTTAATGGTGTTATTACAGGGCAGAGTTATGGTTTCCACTAACTGATAAAATTTCAGTTTTGAAGAATAATGGTGGGGAAGGAATGATCATTAATTCCCCACAAATATTCAAATGTAGATTTTGAACAAGATTTCTGAGAGCTTTAACTATATGGAAAATTTGAAGAGCTTATGACATAGTAAAAGTTGTCTGGTTGCCTTACCTCTGCATTTCCATACCGTAACATGTTTGCATGTCTTTTAAATTAAACTTAAAAAACAACAAATGGTCTGGTAGCACTTTATAGACTAACAAAAAATATAGATGGTATCATGAGCTATCGTGGGCACCTGACCAGTCATTGGAGTGGGCTGTGCCCACAATAACTCATGATACCATCTATATGCTTTGTTAGTCTATAAAGTGCTATCAGACCATTTGTTGTTTTTCAAAAGTTTATCCTGTATAGACTAACTTGGCTATCCCCCTGAAGCTTTTAAATTGAAGTTGAACTGAATTTCCTGGGTTTGCAATAGGGATGTTAAAATGTAGGAAACTGTGTAAATGTGTAACCACTGGGAGGTTACATGCACCCACCACAGCTGACACAGCAGCAGTATGGGGCGGTATGTGGCTCCCTGGGAGCTAGTGTGCACCAGCTCCCCCTGCAATCCCATTCCTGCGGAGCTGGCTGCTGCTTCTGCACTTCACCGGCCCCCTGCTGCCTCCCCAAGCTGCTGCTCTAATACAGAAGCAGCAGTGCAGGGTGGCAGGTGGCTCCCTGCGAGCCGGCACTCACTGGCTCCCTGCTGCAGCACTGTTTCCAGGGAGCTTGGCTGCCACTCCTGCACAGCTACCTCTGATACTGTGCAAAATGCAGGACAATGTAGCTACATTGTCCTGCATTTTGCTTCAACTACCCCAGACTAACACGGCTACATTTCTATCACTATTCTGATACTGTGCGTGTAACTATGAATGTTAACCAATATGCCCAGGCATAATGGTTAACCATTTACATGATTATATGCTCACATCCTTAGTTTACAATGCTTGGTATGGCGATAATTACAGTATCTCAGTACTGTAGTGTATTCCAAACACTTGACATGTATCCTCAACCTTAAATCCATTTTTATATAAATAGCATTTGTGAATAACTAACGTATTTTAGTACTAAATCATTATTTTACCAAGCTTATTTTGTGGAAGCAAAACAAAAGGTATCTGCCAAGGTAACAGAAATAGCATATGTTTTTCTTTCATATTTATCTGTTATGAATGGGAATTCCATTGAAACTTTACAAGAATGGTCATTAAAGCAGTATTTTACCTTGTTTCTGTCCTGGGTATCCACTTCTCCTGGTGCCATATATTTTAGCAACAAAGCTAAACACTTGGGACTTTTATGGCGGGTAGTTAAATGTAAAGGAGTCATTTCTTCTAAATCCTTTTGCATCCAGTTTGCTCTACGAGCAAGTAAAAGTTTCATAAAGCGATAATTTCCCTGTATAAGGAAAAAATATATATGTAAGGAACTAATACTAGAAAATTAGTTAAAGCACAAGATGACAATGTTTAAAGACATCACTGTACCCCCTTCTACACCTCCTCCAGGCCAAAATCTTCTGCTACACCTACACTCCCCTCCGACCCTACACCCTCATCCCGTGACTCAGGTCACAACCCCCTCCTTCATCCAAACACCCTCTCAGACCCCACATCATTCCGTGCACCCTTCTGCACCCAACCTCCAACCTAGACCCTGCACCCCCACCACAGAAAAGTGCAGCTCTTGACCATTTACCAAAACCTTGGAATGGGCCCCCACCAAAAATTATTGCCCACCCGTGTTCCACACCATCTTTGGTAAACCTGAGAAAAGGCTTGCACTGTAGCCTAAATATCAGGAGACGCTCTCATGCCCATCATGGTAAAAAATTCCAAATGCAAATATTGAATACATACTACCACTGGTTACCAGACATTTACTTCTAGAGACCAGAGGCAGACATGGAGAAGGGTAGCCTACCAAACAGCCACGACACCAGCCATCAAGCTAAATACAAATCAATGCCTTAAATTGTACCCAGAAATAAACAGCAATCCAAAGGTAGTTGCTAGAAAACATACATAATATGATTCTTGCCATTAATAGCTTCAAGTAGATGAGCAGCTATGTTCTGCAATAGTGATAGTTTCCAAGTGATGTTTAAAGTAGCCTAATTTAGAACATGTATTTTTAACGCCTAATCTGAGAGGCACAAAGACAATAACTGTTGCTGCCGTAACATGAACACGTGATATGAAAATATCGGGGGGCATTGTTACAGCTGAGGGTCTGTAGAGAGATGGGGAACAATAGGTTTGTTTTAACAGCACAGGCAAGGGGAAGCCAACACACATTAACTAAATGGCATACCCCTTTTTAATAAAGCTTCAGGCAGGACAATTAAAAACAAACAGCTGACACATTCCTCATCTCAGGACCCAAACATAAGGTCCGTAACACAAAGCCTCTGAATCTAATCAGGCTGGTTCTCTTAGAGCCTCAGATAAACCACCAACAGTGCTGGCTTCATGAATTCTATTTCCTGTTCCCTCACTCACCTTCCTCTTCTTGTTTATACAGCCTACTCTATGGTAGGGGCTCCTTGATTATATCCCAGACTGCTCCAGCTGTGCTCCAGCTGTGTATGGGAGCCAGACTCCAGCCTGCCTCTTAAAGAGACAGTACAATCCTTCATAGGTTCAAAAAACACCGCCAGCTGCAAACCCAATAAACAGTAAAGGGACAAACCTCACTCATAAGATTGGATAGGACCTGCCTCTCCATTGATATCACCTTAATTTGGCTTATTTTAAGCCTCAATCAGCTTGCTGTCATCCATAGAGCCCTGCGTGGTTATAAATATGTACATCTGCATCTGATCTACATCTGCTAGAATGAAACTATGTGCATCCAATCCACAATCCACTAGCTGCCTTTTGTATTCCCATTTGCACCGCACCTGCAACAGCAAGCCATCTCACAGTGTATCTGAGGAGTATGCATTACTCCTATAAAAAACTATACGGCTTAATAATTATGCACACCATTATTATTATTGTAAACAACAACCACTGTTTTATGACAGCCATCAGAACAAATATTCTTGCCCTTAACATCCCTCGGGATTGGCAGCCTTCTTCAAATGATGGTGATCTCAGGGGCTGAGGAGAGAGCCTTCACCTCTTTGTGGTGTAAATGTGTCAGTCTCCAGGCTTCTTGCTCAAATTATTGCTGTGGTCTGCAATATTGAGATGTTGAGGGAAAATACCTGCCACATGAGAATTAGTTCTTCTGGCAGGCTGCTTGGGTTTTTTAATTGATCACAGACCCCGCCCCCCAACCCCTCCCACACACACAATTAGAAATTATCTCTATCTTCATCATCCATCTTCAGTTGCTGATAAAAAGCTGAAGCTGATAATATTGTAAATAGTTTAGATAATGCAAGGGACTGGGAGTCTGTTCTCCCTATGGAAGCATGCAAGGAGTGTCCCTGGGCACCTCATCTTCCCTGGGTGGCTGTGTATGGGAGCCAGAAGCAATGACAGCAGACACTTTGCTCCCTGACTCCAGGTAAGTTTCCCACTGCAGGAAAGGGGGGGTTAGGGAGGTGTTTGGGGGTGAGGGGCACAGGAGGGGGACTAAAGTCCTCTTCAGGCAGCTGCCTAGCTAGTGCTTAATTTTTGCCTCAGCTTGCCAGGCTGAGTTCCAACACCTCTCTCCTTGACAGGTCAATCACCCTCCACCTCCCAGGACGACTGCGTGGGGGAAACCACAAATAATGGCAACAGGCACTTTGCTCCTGTGTGATGTCAGGTCAGTTTTGCCACTGCAAGAGGGGTGTGTATGCAGGAGTGAGGGACGCAGGAGTGGGGTGCCGAGCAGACTAGAGGGTCACAATGAGCATGGAGAATGAGGGGGTGGGGGTGGTGGTGAGTGGTGTGCTGAGCTGACGGTGGAGGGCCACAATGAGCATGGAGCACGAGGGGCAGGAGGGAAGGTGTTCTCTGGCTGCCTGCCAGTGCTTAATTTGTGCTGGGGCTTGCAGGAGCCCCAACAAATCTTTCAATACAAATTGAGCACTGCACAACTATTTACAGAGCCCTGCAAATCTGCAGATGTCTACTTTATATCCATGGATATCCGCATGTGCGGATGTCCCCATCTCATTTTTCCAGATACAGATGCGAATACAAATTCTGTATCCACACAAGGCTTAGCTTTCTACTTCACATGCTCTGAATTGTGGGACTTGATCTTAGATTTCTTACTCAGGACAGCTGATGTTCTTCGACATACTGCTATGTTAAAAAAACCCAAACCATAAAATCATCAGGGTTCTGGAAGTCTCTGAGTCTCATTAATTTTGTGAACAGAGACCGAAAAGGCTCTTGGAAGACACAATACATGTAGGGATGGAATGCTCAAACCGAGAAACCAGACTGAAAAGGGGAAAATTATGTTTCCGTTGTTTCCACCATGCCAACAGTTGCACATCTTCATTCTTTGTCAGTTTCAGGCTGTTATACTTTGACACTTGATCATTGTTACTTACACGCTCACCAACCAAAACCTAACTATTTTTTCCTGCCATGAGACAAGCTTTTTGGTCTCTTGATAAAGTTTATATCTCCCTTCTTCAGTGAAAACTTCTGTCTCCTTCATTTGAGAGTACAGGCAGTCCCCGGGTTACGTACAAGATAGGGACTGTAGGTTTGTTCTTAAGTTGAATCTGTATGTAAGTCGGAACTGGCGTCCAGATTCAGACACTGCTGAAACTGACCGCCAGTTTTGACTTACATACAGAATCAACTTAAGAACCCCAGGCGTCCCCAAATCAGCTGCTGCTGAAACTGATCAGCAGCTGATTCCAGGAAGCCCGGGGCAGAGCAACTCTGCCTGGGGCTTCCTGTAGTCAGCGCTGGTCAGTTTCAGCAGAAGCTGACTTGGGGACACCTGGGGCAGAGCAGCTGGGGTGCTGCTGGGTTGCTCCAGTAGCGCCGCTCCTCGGTGCTACTGGACCAACCCAGCAGCACCCCATCTGCTCTGCCCCAGGC